ACGTGCGGCGGCGAGAGTGCGAGAGTGGGGAATGGGGGGGGGGGGGGTCACTCACTCATGGCGTTGTTGAAGGGGAAGGGAGAGGGAGCGTCAGATGGACAGGCGCGGCGGCAGAGCTAGCAGAGGGTGTGTGTGTGTATGGGAGTAGTGTAGGTATGACCTGGCGAGGGCTAAGCTCTGTTGCGTCGAGGGCGGTGTTGGGAGCAAGCTCGGCAATTGGCTGGGGGCTTGCTTGCTTGGGCGGAGCGGCGGCCGATTTGAGGAGGAAGTGAGCAGCAAAGCAGCGACGGGACGGGGCCGGTGAAATAATTTGAAGGGAGATGATGCTGGAGAAGAAGAAAAGGAGGGCAAAAGGCTTGGCTGGGAGACGGGCTGGCTGCGGGCGGTGATGACGAGGTGGTTGGTGAGGTAGGCTGTGTCGGCGGCGGCGCCGGGGGGTGGCCGCTCAGCGCAGGCTTGGGGGTGCCAGGGGAAGGGCCAAGTGGAGCGACCCGTCACACATGTCCCAGAGGGCTGCCGCCGAGTGTCGGGGATCAAACATGGGCGCTGGCCCGGGGCGGCAGCGGCAGTGGCAGTGGCAGTGGCAGTGGCACACGTCTCTTTTGCTGTGGTTGCGCGCCGGTTGTTGTCGCATGTCGTGTAGGCCGTAGACATGTCTTGAGGCGTAGAGCGGCACTGGCACTGGCACTGGCACTGTGCATGCCATTGCGTCTGGTGCCCGCCATGATGATGTCATGTTGTTGGTGTTGGCCCTTTGCGTCTGGTCGTGGTCGCGCCTGCCCTGGCCGTCCGTCTTTTTGGCAGGGCGCTTGGTCCAAGCGTGCTCAAACACACACACAATCACAATCTGCAATCACAGCAAGTGGATCGTCAACAAGACGCCCCGCTTGTTTGAAATTCTCCACTAGTGCTACCACTACTGTAGGGCCGCACGCTTCACTCGCACTCGCACTCGCTCCTGCCCACAGCACCGACACTAGGGCGGGCTGGCTTGGCCTGGCCACCGTGTTGCCCGCTGCCTCTTTCTTGTTCTCCAGGCGCGGCCAACGTCACCGCCTTGCTGCTTGCTTTGGCCTGCGCACATCAGCCTCGATGCTGACTTCTCGGCCCTCTCGGCCCTCTCGCTTCTCGCTGTAGCTAGCTCTACACCTATACCTAGTGCTAGCACCCTCCGCCCTCCTCCGTGTCACTGCCCCGTGTCACTGCTCCGCGTCCACGACACCGGACCTGCCATGGCCCGAACACCGAGTCAGCGCGGATAGCTATCAGCAGCGTTGTAATCCATCCACCTGGCACAGTGCCCATGCTAGCCCCGGCGCCAAACAATGGCTCTTGCACGACCCCAAATGCTCCCCATCACCCACATACACTACACATACTGCATACATACATACATACATACAACCCCTCTCCTCGCACTCGTCGTATTACTACCTGACGTCTGCACTGCATCGTCAT